AAGGCGCCGGAGTCGGGTTACAGTGGGCAGCGCCGAAAGAGAAAGGATGCCGCTGGAGGCGGAGGAGAGGCAGATAAATTGACAGCCTGCTCCGCGGAGCGCCCCGCCCCTCCAAGGGTGACCTGCCCCTCCCTGGGGCTGATTCCCCATCTCCCTCCTGAGGGGGCTGGGGAGCTGATCTTCACATTTCCTGCCCTTCCTGCCTAAAATCCGTGATTCCACAGACAGGAGGTCTGTGGAGGTAGAGGGGGCTGGTACTGGCCCCAGGCTGGCCCCAGCTGGATGTGAGCCGGACAAATCACCCTCTCTGGACCTCTTGGGGGGAATGAAGATCCTCCACCCCCCCACCCCTCCTCCAGGTTGTGGATGCCCAGGAGGAAACACTTAAGTCCTCAGAGAGGACAGGTGGCTTCTACATGGCCCTGGGCCACTCCCTACCTCTCAGCCTGTCTTCCCTTGCATCCTGGGGAGGGTTCCTCCTGGTTTTGCTCACCAGCAGGGTCAAGCAGGAGGCCGGCACCTGGGGTCCTTGTGAAATGTCAGAAGTTTGAATTGTTTCATTTAGGGAGAAGATGCGTGGTCCAGGTGGTGGCACGAAGGTCCTTCCCCTTCTCCCCTGCTCCAGACCCGGGACCAAAGGCATGGGCATAGAGGGGCCCTCTGGTGACCTGGGAGGTTCCAGTTCCTCATCTGCACTTGAGGTGGGGTCCCTTCCCACTGCCTCCTCTCTCCCACACCCATGTCTGTGCCATCAGGAGCCACTGTGTCCACCTGCATGCACATGCCCTGAGCTCTGGGGACAGCACAAGCTAGACACGGGGGGTCCACAACCCACTTGTGCTCCCTGCAGGAGCAAGTGGCCCGAATGGCCAATAGGAGGCTTGTGTCTTCATGGGCATCCCGCACCAGTGGCCCTGGGCAGCTGAGAGGCCAGAGTGCAGAAGGCAGTGCAGGGACACTGGAGGCAGAGGCTGCTCAGCCCTGAGGCCAGGACAAAGGGGACAGTGCTCGCTAAAGAACAAATTCGCCCTGGCTAAAAGCAGGCGCTGCTTCCTCCAGGCCACCACCTCTGGAGTCTGGGGCGTCCGACACTCGGGGGCCACCCTGTCTGCCTGGACGCAGCCTCGTTCTCCTGGATGCACCTGTGCTTGCTCCAGCCAGCCTCCTCCTCCTGGGCCACTGTCCTTTGACTTCCGGGTGAGGACATGGATGCCACCTTGCTGTTCCCTCGCAGCAGGACTGGCCCTCCGGGACAGTGAGCATGCAGTGTTTAGAAGTCCTGCTGCACTCGAGCACCTCCTAGGACAGCCCCAGCTGGGGGTTGCTTCTCCTTCTCAGCACTTCATAAAATAATGATAGAGCTTAAAGTCAGTGGCATTTTAGGCTTGATAGAATAAGGTCAGTGTTCACTATTATCACTTTTTAAGACCCAGTGAGAAGATTTTGGTACCCCCCCCTCCCCAGGACCCAGCTCTTCCCTCCACTCTTAAGCTGAAAGGAACAACCTCTAATCTGAGATTCCTTAGCTGAGGGAGCCCCACCTGCTGAATGACTTGTCATGATCCGGTCCCAAGGAGGAAGAGCTCGCTCTCTCCTACCCATCCCACTAAACCCCGGACCCTGTCTGGCCAGCCAACCTGCTAGTAGGCGACGGGGCTGGGAGGCAGTCAAACTACACTGTCCACCTGCACTTGGCCAGGTGAACCAGCAGCTGGGTCGGAACCCACAGAACATTGCCTGGGGCCAGGAAGGTGGGCTGCAGGCGGCTCCTTAGGGGAGCTTCCGGGTGAGACGGTGTCAGAAAGCAGATGCTGCCACCCCGCGTCAGCCCCTCTCCTAGCCAAATGGCCCTGAGCAGCGGCCTAGCCTCAGGCAGCTGGAGAAGCAAACTTGATGTCCCTGTCAGGGCTCCCGACAGACTGCCGGGTGGGGTCGACATGGCCATGGTAGGCGCCCTGGGGAGTTAGGCACCTGCTTCCCAGCCAGAGGTGATGTGAGCACTTGCTGCGTGGCTGGTGTTGGGCTAGGCCCTGGGGGCAAAACTGTCGGATGCCACTCCCAGCTTGAGCATGGGCATACAGGAGCACACACGATCACGCCGTGCGGTCAGACCCTCGGGACAGACAGTGGGGGGGTAAGAGCCTGAGGAAGGAGGACTGCTTCTGTCTAGATGGGTGGCCCAGCACTGAGCCCTGCAGAGAACGCCGTACCTCTGGGCTCCACGAGGTCTCCATCTGCTGCAGCCCTCAGTGAATGCTGCTCTCCTGACAGATGGGATCTGTGAAAACTCCTGCTCCCCCACCCCACCCCAAAATGAGCAGTTATGTCCTACAGCTCTCTGCAAGCCTCACAGCCCCCCGCGGCTGTCTGCCTCCTGCCCACGCACGGGAAAGCATCCAAAACCTGCAGCTCTCTGCTGGACAGCGAGCAGGCCCTCTCCCACATGTGAGATGCAGGGCCTAGTCGGGACGTCGCGGAAGCCCGGCAAGGCATTGACGCCAGCCCAGAAACCAGAGAGCTCTGCCTTCCCGGGAATTTAACAGTTGGCTTCGGGCTGAGAAATGAGAGACCCTTTGAATAAAATGTTTATTAGTTCACAAAGTTCTTGGGATACCATTTTGCAATAGGCTCAAGCACACATGGAAAGTATTTTTCAAATGAAAACAAAACAAAAAGACTACAAGCCTAAGGCAAAGACAACACAGTGGGTGAGCTATGTCTGCTACAGCAGAGAAGGGCAGAGAATGTTCCAAAATGCCAGCACAGGTGGTCAGGGCATTCTCCTGGGAGACACCTGTGACTTAGTAGTCTTCTAGAAAGTTCCACAGGGCTTCAGGGGAAGGCAATCACCTCTCTAATAAAAACCGTGGTGGCTTCCGACAGGACAGGGTACACATATTTCGAGTGGACCTGTGGTCATAACAGCGAATTTTAGCATAGCGAGGGTGTGGTGGGAGAGTCCAGGTCCAGCTGGCTGCAGGCTTCCTCTTCGCCCTGAGAGGAGCTCCCGCTGAGGAGAGGCTTCACCTCTAAGCTCACAGGTGGGTTCTGGAGTGATGAGCACAGGGGGCCAGTTGCTCCCCGCCTGCACACACGGCTCTCCTTTGCAAACGGGGTCAGCTTGGGAGCAACAGAGCTCCAGGTCCATGTGCCCTTAGTGCACCAGGGAAGGAGCCCACCGACCCCGTCTCACACCGGACCCCAGAGCTGGAGCAATGGCTGGACTGACAGCCTGGACAGAACTGGCTAGATTTGCTCGTTTCTATTTTTTAAGCTACTTCCTGACCTTCCACATACCTACTATTGTCTTATTCCTAAGAACTATTTATTTTGAACTGCATGTTATGATGTACAAACACTTTTGACTCTATCTTCTTCAGAGGAGAGGTTGGAGAGCTGTCCGAATACCCAGCATTCAGGGACTTTGTCAAGCTGGCTCTCTCAGGCTGGAAGCCATCGTGAGTGCACTGATAGGCCAGGAAGGGCCGGCTGCTGTGTGTGCAGGGCCTCTGGGGGAGCCAGCCTCTGGGTAGGAAAGAGCCCCCCGCCACGCTCTCCCTGACTTGTTGACCTCAGGCGAGGGGCACGCTGCAGATTCTCCTACCTGCAAGATGCCATGGGTAAGGCCCGGTAGGAGAGTCCATCCTACCACGAGGTGGGGGGCATGCAGGCCCCACTTCCCCTGTAGGAGATGACCCTAGGACCCAACAAGCGAAGTCAGTTATGACAGGGATCAAAGAGAGAATTGTGCCCCTTGTTGGCTGGCTCGCTCACCCACCCAATGCAGCTCTGCTGAAGCCCTAGCGTGCCAGGCATCATCCTCTTCTT